CGGCCCCCCCCAGCACTGAGGGGCTCGGAGCCGCTGCGGTGTCCCGGGTGGGGCGCGGGGGCAGCTGTGGACCCTGCGTGGCGAGGTGGGGGGGCGGTGCTGCTCAAGCCACCCCTGGGGGAGCGGGGTGCAGCTGGGCGCCCTGGATTGCTGCCCCTAGCCAAGGGCCCGGACTCGCGGGTTCTCTTGGTGGCCCCGGTGAGCTGCGCGTCCTCAGGCAACGCCCCTGCCTCAGTTTCCCCTGCCACCGTGGCAGCCAGGCGACCCTGTCCTCGACACCTGGGCCACGTGGCCCCTGCCTGCCAGCGTGCGGAGCCCCCGTGCACTGCATGCTGGGATATGGGGTCCGTCCCCGGGGGAGGTGGGGGTGCAGCCAGCCACCCCCGGCTCTGACACCCCCCGCTCGGTCCCGACCCGCAGGAGGTGGAGACGGTCTCCTTCATCACCCGCCTGGCCGGCTGCTCCGACCACATGGCCCTGGGGCTGCGGCTCTCCGTGTCCCCAGCGCAGCAGTGACCGCAGCGAGCGGCGTGAACCCCGGCGTCCGGCGCATGGAGGGGGAGCTGCTCCACGCTGGCCAGGCCTCCACGGCTCCACGGGGACGGCGGCTGCTGCTCTGACCACCACGGCCCTGCCGGGCAAAGTGCAGCCCAGGGGAGCCCGGCCCCGAGAGCAGATGGAGGGCAGAGCTGTCCCCAGCCCCCCGGCCTGGCACAGCCCAGCCCATCGCAGCCCAGTGTCCTGCCTTGGCGTGTGCTTCCTCGCAGCCGTGTGTCCTGGGGGAGTGGCATGGACCTATGCAGCGCCCCAAGGCCTGGGGCCGCGATGCCCACCTGAGCCCGGCCCAGGGCATCGTGGAAGTGGAGCGGGGGCAGCGCTGGGGACAGGGGCAGGGGCAGGCAGGCCCCAGGGCCCATCTCGGCTGTGCTGGCCGGGGCAGCGCCAAGGCGAAGCCCCAGGCACCGATCCCGCTTCTGCGCGGTGCACGGCTGGTGCAGAATAAAGGCCTGGTGTCCTGAGCTGGCGTCGCATGGCCGGGGGCTGCGGGCAGGGGGGGGCTCTGGGCTGTTGGGCTCAGCCCCACGGTGATGGCACCGTGGCTGCGCGTGCGGGGAGGGGAGGGGAGGGACAGGGAGGGGAGAGCCAGGCCACGGCAGAGCACAGCCCATCCCCACGGCCCATGGAGCTGGACAGCTGAGTCAGGCTGCACCCAGGGTAATTCCTGCACCCCAGCCCACCCCCCCACCCCCGGCAAGCCCCGCCTGGTGCAGGGCGAGCCGACTGGGGCAATCATGGCCATGCAGCTGTGGGGCATCCTGGGGCGCTGGCAGTAGCGGTGGTCAGAGCAATGGAGCTAATTGAGCATCCTCCTGCTCCTGAGCAAGGGGCTAGCCCCCACCCCAGGGGCCTCAAGACAGACCCTAAATGGCAGGCATGTGGCCAGGCCCACGGCTGGGGGGGCAGCGCGGGGCCTGAGCCCCTGTGCACCCATGGCCTTGTAGAAGCCTCCAGTGGCCAAACCCCAGGGGGCATCATGTGCTGTGGAGGCTGAGCTCTGGAGCAGTGCGTGTGTGCGCCTGCATGCGTATACATGCATGTATGTGTGTGCATGTATCTGCTTGTGTGTGCATGCATGTGTGCAAGGGCATGCCCCTCCTCCCCTTCCCCATTGGCTGGACTCTGAAGCAGTCTGCTTGTGTGCACATGTGCAAGTGCATGCCCCTCCACCCTATTCCCACACTCCCTCTCCCCAGCCAGCATGACCAGCAGCTGCAGGGGAACACCGGCCAAGGGGCAACTGAACCCCCAGGTCACTGCCAACACCCCCAAAGCAGCTCTGGCTGTGGCCCCGCACACCTGTCCCTGTAGAGACCCAGCGAGGAGCAGGATCAGGCCCCATGCTGCTGCCTACGAGGTCAGCCCTTGCAGCGCCCTGGCCCGACACCCCAGACAAGAGCCCCAGCTCAGGAGCCTGCAGAGGCAGCTGAGCCCAGGCAATGTGTGGGTGTAGATATGCACCATGCAGGTGCTTGTGCACAATGCAGGCATATGATGGCGTGCTTGTGAGTACACACATGCACACAATACCATGTATGTGCATGTACACGCACACAGCGGCATGTATATGATGGGGAGTGTGTATATGCACGATGGCAAGCATGTGTACACATACATGCACTAACACGTGCCTACACAGAACGCAGGGGTTGCAGACACTTTGTCCGGGCCCAGCCCAAGAGGGACTCCCCTGCCGTGTGCACAGGGCGGGTGCCGGGGACAGACACTGGGTCCTGACCCTGCTCGTCCCCTGCAGGGGATTCAGCCGGGTGGGGAACTGCACCTTTGTGGGGCTCTGCCGTGACACAGGACAGGGCTGCGGAGGCTCCGAGCGGTGTCTTTAATGAGCATGGGCGCCTGCATGGAGCCAGGGGGCCCCTGGCCACCTCCCAGTCCTGGTCCTCTAGATATGGAGCCTGCACTTGCTCCTGGTCGGGAAGCCCCGTCTGCAGCCAGGGCAGGGCCTGTCACACCCAGGATCAGCGCCAGAGCTGGGCCCAGCCTGAGCCAGCCCCGCCTTAGGTCAGACCGTGCCACCCCAAGGGCCAGGGCAGCTGAACACTGAGCCTGGCGTCCTGCTCCCCACAGTGGCTCTGGCCCAACTCTGGGGCCGCAGCTGCTGTGGGGGGGGGGGGGGGGGGCCCCGGGGGTT